TTGGAACGCTAAAAAATTGATATGATTTAGAATTATAATTTGATTAGATTTATAGGTAAGTTGAAAAGAATTAAAAGCCAAAATTTACTAGATCGCGATGGATAATGTTCTTCCCGTGTAAATATTTCAATCCAAAAGTAATTTCCACTGCAATTTTAGTGAGTTCGACCCATGAAATTTTATAATAACAACCAACTCTTTTTGTTTGTAAATATTCTCTTAAATTACCGCCATCGGCAAATTGTAGCACAAGCATGAAATTTTTCGTTAGTGAATCTAAAGTTATTAAGCAAATAAGAATAAAGTTAATTATCCAATTGTAGATTCAATTAAAAAATTGTTTTTTTTTATTGTACCTCTTGAAATTCCGTAATGCTTTAATTGCAGACTTGGGAATATCAAAATGCTTAGATGATCCAGCAGCTGCTAGTTCAGTTGTGGTTGGCATAGAAGCTTATATTGACCCACGGTGCCTTAACCCTGAAGTAAAACGCGATAAGGAATTTGATATTTATAGCCTAGGTGTATTATTTTGGGAGCTTATGAACGGAATTCCGCCTCCATCACGTTTTACGATCTTAAATAAAGTTATATCTCAAAATAAAGAGAAATATATTGAAGAAATTTCTCTAAATAAAAAGAATAACGCTACACTCTCAGATTATGCTGATATTTACATAAAATGCTGCTCTTCTGAACTTGACCAACGTCCATTACTAGATGAAATTTCAGAAAAACTTGAAAATATATCGAAGACAACTGTTGAATTTATTGAAATAAATAATCAACAAAAAACTGCACAGTCAAAACCAAACTATTCAGAACAATTGGATTCCCCTAATAATACGGCCGAAAATATTAGTGTTGAGAAGCATCATGAAGGTAAACTGAAATATTACAGAATTTATTTTTATAATTTATTATTTCATTCTATTAAACATGAACATTTAATTAGATAATCAAGATGAATCAAGCTGCAATAATATTGGTAGGATATTTACTTTATATTAATGGTTTAGTTATTTGCAATTTATTAAAATTTATTAAAAGTTCGTCATAATTTAGGTAATCAAGTTGATTTTGAAAATAATTTATATCCAAAAGACGATAAGAACGATGGTTATAATCACGATGAATCAAACGGCAATAATCTTGGTAACATATTTACTTTATATTCAGTAGGTTAGTTATATGCAATTTATTAAAACTTTTCTATTATGTAATCAAGTTAATTCCGAAAATAAACATCCGAAAGACGATATAACAGATTATAATCACGATATATCAAACGAAGATAATCTTGGTAGAATATTTACGTTATATTTAATGGGTTATTTTTTATTTGAAATTTATTAAAAATTTTCTTTTTCTTTGACGCTCAAGATTATTCAGAAAATAAGATACACCCAAAGGACGATACGGCCAATTATTTAAACGAACCCGATTCGAATAATGAATTTGCAGTAGGGATGTTAAATTGCGAATCCAGTCCGGTCCGGTCCTAGGATCTAAAAGGACGGTCCTGGA